AGCATGGGACAAGCAGCTTTTGCTCTCTGACAATGTTCGCAGGCTCTTTCCCAAGAGGTCTCTTGGGCCTTGGCAGCACCGATGCCCTGGGTGTGCCTGCACAGCCAGCTCTGCATCTGCACAAGTTACAGGAGTATCAAGAGGAGACTTCCTGACCTGGCTCCTCATCTGCCAGCGTAACTCTTCAGCTACACCAGTTACAGCCAGACTACTGACACAAATCAGATGTTTCTCCCATGAAGCTTCCCCAGCCAACGCTGGGCTCTGTGGTACAGGAATACCCACTCCAACCTATTTCCTTCTCTATTAGCTGCTGCCTTTGTTTCTTACCTGGTTTTGCTGCACATGTTCTGACAAACTCCCTGTTGCAATGCCAGGAAAAGTTCATTTTTGTGAACTTCCTCCAGACCTTCAAAAAATTCAAGCCAAGCACTTGTAATTGGATGATTAATTTAAAACAATACACAGTCTTTAGGAAAAGTCCTGGGTGTTCCTGGATTCTAAGCCTTTGGGCTTTAAAAATTTTCCCCACAACCAGAAAGATTGCACAGACTAGCTGCTTGCTTTAAATTTCAACAAAAGTCACTTAGCATTGCACCTATAAGAAAAAGCAGCAAACATCAAAAGTTGTGTGATAGGCTGATAGTTTATCATGTGTGTGCAAAAAACAGTGAGGTATGAGATTTGGGGGGCTCCAGAGTGATAACTCATCAAAACAGCACAACGGCTTTAACAAGAGGGTCCCACAAATAGTGTCCTTATATAAGCTTTGTAGTTCATGCAGTATGTACCAGAACTTTAAAAACGATTCAAAAAGGATTCTCAGGAGTGGAAGGGAAATCTGTGGAGCATTGAGTAGCGTTTTGAACACAATATTCACAACACACTTTGGCAATAAGGCACTGACTCCTCTCCCAGCCGCCAACCACACAGGGACAGGGAATGAGTGTGGGAAGGGTCACCAGCAGTTTTTTTCCAAGAATGAAGGTAACTGTAACTAGAGCTTCTCCCATGCTGAGTTGCTACATGTCAGTTATACATGATGCTAAGGCTTTCTATTCTCATTTTGTTTCAAAATAAGAAGTTTTTTCAAAATCTGGACATTTCTGCATTTCATTTGAAAAACATGCCTTGCTACATCTAAAACAGTAGCATTGTGTGGCCTTGCTTAGTGTTTAAACTGTATAAAGACATGGAAAGTGATCCCTAGATAGATTTTTCAGGCTACTTTCAAGATTATCTATATTCCCATTAGGCTCAATTAATCCAAATACGACTATATCTGATTTCAGACTGAGGCGGGCTTTTGTTCAAGATACACTCTTACTTCATGAACAGCAACAGGGAACAACTGTAACTCTACCATTAAAAAATATCTCCTTCTGAAAAATTTTTACCTTTTTTGAGGTCCAAAGTAAAATGAGCTTTTATGTTTCTCCTTTGTCCCGATGCAATGAAAGTTTTCCTGTCCAAGAAAGCAAGCTTACTGTGACAGGGCAAACAAGGAACAGTACCAAAATTTCAAGAACCTTCAAGTATTGTAAGGACAAGGCAAAAGGCTCTGGTCCAGTTTTGACCTCTAGTTCCTGCACCATGCTATCACCCTTTGAGAGACTACTGAAACTCTACAGTCCAGCTGCAACAGAGAAGTGTTATTCAGAAGGGCAGGTTTATTTACAGAGTAGTCAGACCAAAGCTGAAATCAAGAGTCCCAGAAATTTTCTTCATGTAGAAACCAGCATAGATAAGAACAAGGTTCAGTACAGTGCTCCTAGACCTGCTAGAGCTTCACAGAGACACCAGGGAGACAAGTGACAAAGTCCTCCTCTCAGTGCTTTGGCAGCTTCAGCATCAGCATATACTTCTCCCTGTGCTGGAGGTGGCACACTCCTACTGTGTGCTTGGAGAACACAAGGCAAGAGGCTAATATACGTTAGACTGATGGCCCAAAAATGCAGTGCCTCTTATGACAAAGATCCAAACCGGAGACAAAAGTTAACTCATAAAAATCCTAAAATGCTCTGCAACTGATTTGTTTTGGGTAAAGAATCTTACCGTTGTTTCACATTGACTAAATTAATTATTTTCATCGCAAATATGTACTAGTAAGAAGCAAGATAATACTAAATTAGTATGGATTGAAGGATGTACCTGAGGAAAAAAATGAGCGATAGCCCTGAACCGAAAAGCAAATTTAATGCTTGTCATTAAAAGCGCAATTGATTGAATTCAGTTTCTGTGTCCGAATCACCATTAGAAATTCATTATTCATACCTGTATCATTAATATTCATAAGCATAGCAGCAGAGCACTTTGGATAGTTTTCAGTGTTTGTTCCTTTAAAACAGTCACATACTGTCCCATGGGAATCCTGACATACCATAAGTTCTCTTGCAGCAATATCCCAACAAATGACAATTCACAGAAGTTGCAGCCCTTTTAGCTGGCTTGGAAATCTGTCAGCTATACATGATGAAATTTAGCAGTCAAGCATTGAGACAACTGATAAGTCTCTTGGCTTTTCAAAAGATTGAGAGTCACTGTGGCCTTCAGACACTTCTCAATGCCACCTGCAGGCCAGTCCAGTGAGTATCTGTTGGACTAGTAGTACGGGAGAACAGAAAAATTATGATCTCCCTGTATTTCACTCCCAATGTTTCTCAAGTAAGTACAAACAGAAGTTCACACTGATACCTTGACATTTCCTCCATGCTACAGCATTTTAGTTAATCGGGTTTTTTTCCCCTGATAATGGATGGCTTTTATATCTTACCCTCATCTGAGGTTTGCTTTGCTTGTTCGGGAATTTAGAGTGATATACTGTGGGACATTATTAACATTTCAAAATAATATTTTCTACTTTTGTAATTCAGCTTCACATTAGCAAGTTTCTCTGATGGGGCAATAATTTCTTACTGACCATGAAAACATCGTATGAGACATGTTCAAAAGAATCCCAGGTATAGCTGGTAGTCACTACTCTGTGTGCCACTTACAATCAGAAAAAGCTAAAGTTTAGAATTCATATGCCTGGCACAAATGACTGTTTCATATTGTAAACAGTGCACCATGTTAATGAGTTTGACAACCACTGCCTCCTACTTCATATTTTATGATACACATAAATTTGGGTTCTTACACTTCTTACCCCAACTTGACAAAAATTCAAATAGACACATAAGATGCAAACAAAAATTAATGAGATCCACATTTTGAAAACAAGTTGGTGGATTTTCTTGTTATAAGGTCAAGCATTGAACAACTGACTTGGATTTGCTGCTTGAACTGTCAGCAGATGGTATAACTTGAAGTCCAGAACAAAACTGATTTATACAAGTGATATTAATCTAATTATGCAATACCCCAAACTAAACTAGGCATTTTTGTCTTGCCAAGTACAGTTTAAAAATAAACAGTCTAAATATGAGATCACTACTGGGCCAAGCATACCCAAGAATTCACACCATCAGCTAGAAACTAACAGTTCTACTTAAAATGCTGTGACTTACACTAGGGATTTTGAGTAAATTTAGTTTCCTACATTTCAGCAGAGTATATTAAGAGTGAATGAATTCTCTCAGCATAGAACATTGAAACAATGAAGAACAAATGAGTTAAATCATCTTCATATATCAATTCATGCTAAAATATGTGCTAATCCCAATATCCACTCCAGTTAGATATTACCATATGAGTACATTCAGCAATTTTAATTTAAACTTCCTACAGTTAAACTGAAAAGGACAGCAAATCAAGACCACTGTCATCATTCACATTTGCTATCGCAGCATCACATCTGTAAAGAAAAAATGGCAGAGCTGCCCCAAACTACATTCACTGGGTCTTCTAAAATGCTACTCTTAATCCTTTTACACAATTCACTTGTTGTGTGACACTGACTGAACATACGCAGTCCTCATGTTTGTGAGGAAAAACAGGAGAGGAAAATCTTCTTTCCAGATTTACACAGTCCAACGACTTTATAAGTTTTCCATATACCTTTAGAATAAAATAGAATCACATGGAATTACTAATAGTTGGCTCTCTAAAGGGTAGGAAATTAATCTGAATATGCCTGAGGCATTCACTGAAAAATTCACTCCGTTTTGAAATTCAGATCTCTCACTAGATTGGATTGGAAAGGCTTTAAAAATAGCTTATTCTCTTGTTATTTCATTACTTCCACAGCTCCTCCCAAGTCAATCTTTTAATTATTGAAAAGCATTAAAAGACAATGATTATTTCAACTTCTGCAGTTACATAAGGATTCAACTGGACTAAAAAGATTATGTTCTGCAAAGAGCATTTTTCTGCACAGAAAAATACTTCTGTTCATGATATTGGATATTTCACTTATTAGCTGCTATGCCCTTTTAACAAACCATTTTTATTAACAAATTAATTAAGACAGCCATAAGATTTTTTTTAATGAAACTATCTCATCATGAGTTTTTAAAACACTGGCTGAATATTCAACAGAAAGGGTGTTCTGAAGCCAAGTTTAACCCTCAGGTCAATTCAACAGCATGACAGGGACAGAAACTGAAATCAGAAACCTTAACTTTTCAGTCAAAGTGGAAATCCTGATAATTTCTCTAGATAGAAGTAAAATTCAATAAAGAAACCATAAGGCTGCCCACCAAACAGGACTACCTACATACAGCTAGCCCTACAACTAATTGTCTATCTCTAAAAATGTCACTAAATTGGGCATTATTCTGGGAGCACAATCACATTTTAAACCACATCAAGAATTAAAGAGATATTTTACAGAAGAGGGTTGACGTATCATATCCCCATCTTACAGACAAATGCACAGAGGTGGAATAAACAACATTTTCATGATAATTCCTGTAAGTTTGTGATAGGATCTGTATCTATAGCCATGTTTTGACATGTGTGCTGTAGTCTGTCAACCCCACTTCTTCACTACAGATCATTGCCTTCTTTGAAAGAAATTATGTTTCCAGAGAAGGAAAAATCTAAGAAATCTCTCTTACCTGGCAAAAAATGATGCTGCCACCGAGGTGCCTGTGGATACTTCACTGGCAACATATGTGCTCTGGGAAGCAGGGAAGCTGTACAGGGAGGGTTTATCTGCATTGTAGCGGTTCAATGCTGCTTCAGTCAGGCCCTCTCGACTAGTCTCTGTCATAAGCTGAGATATCTGAAGACAGAAAAAAAAAAACCAAAAGTGTCATCAGCTAAAGCTCACTAATTGACCCCTCCTCATCCAGACATGCCTCTGGATTGCAGATGGAGTAAGAGAGACATTTCATTCACTACATCTTTGCTCCTCTGTGAACAAGTTTATTGCTTCTGTCACGCTCATCTACAGTACTTTGGTTCAGCTCTAACTTTGTCTGCATTTAAACTAATGGGATAAGTTCACCCCGTCACTAGAAATGCCAATACTGTCTATGGCTTTCCATCCATATGGAAAAGAAAGTAAACCAGAATCCCTGCTCAGTTTTACCTCAGGGTACAAGAGACATACCTTAGATATGTGTAAGATATTTATATTTTACAACAGGAAAAAAAAAAAAAAAAAAAAACAAAAAACCAACAAACAAAAAAAATTGTTTGCCTTTGTAATATAACACAGCACTAGTGTTTTTGTTGACCTTTCTCCAGAAAAGTCAGCACACAGCATAAGGAGTCCCCTTAGGATCTTAGACTATTTATCATCTCTCTGGAAAATTGGGATCGTTATCACTCACTTTCATTGGCTTTCTTAAAAGATTTTAAACATCCCATGATTTCATTCTTTTGATGGCCCATTTAACATTTTTTTTCCCTGTTCAGAAGACATCTCAGCCTTTCATCTTCTGGGAAGATAAATGGAGTTCAATCAGAGTTGACCTAGCTCTCCTCAAATTAACTGAAAGATCATTATTGACTTCAGAGAAAGCTGGATGAGCCTACTGAAGCACTGTATCAAAACTTTTATTTCAGTTTTGTGACAATTACTTCTGCATGAATTTACAACGGTGTGATGTCATCTATTGTACATCACACAATTCCTAACAACTTCCCTTTCCTCCTTTCTCCATTTCAACCACAAATAACTTTTGTTCACCAATACGTGTCACAAAAGTGCAACATATGCCTAAAAAGAACCCTCTCAAATTATCGCTAGCAATCATCCAAGGCATAGCTTCCTTCTCCCTGCAAAACATTTGCGAGAACCAGTCTCTCACCTGCTCAATTTCAGTTCTCACGCCTGTCCTTACCACCACAATAAGTATGAGGCACATCGAGAAAAGTACTTGAGATCACGCCACAGTTCTTATTCCGCTCAGGCTTGCTTTATTTCAGCTGTTAAACATTTCAGTTACTAAAGGCAAAGTTGAAAAACTGACTTGTATGTGGAAGGGGAAAAGATGTGATAACATTTTTTTAGACCAACTGCCAAGCCACCTCTGTTTCTTTCATAGAGAATTGTTACCCATTCTACTATGGCTAAGAAGATAATCTAAGAGTTTATTCTTATTTTACATACTTTTAGGCCAATCAACTGTAATACTTCAAGAACAGGAATGCTAAACTAGCCACTGTATTTTGTGAGGAACCGGTAAAATTGCTGACAGTGCCCCTATCATGTTAGTCACACACTGGGCCCTCCTAATTTACTGATTCACTACACTGAATGAGCAGTGCTCTCAGAAGGATACAGCTGAAATCCTGGATTTAAATCATCTCATACTACTGTTAAAACGCAGGAATTTAGGCTGGCTGCCAGGACACCTCCTTACATTTCCAGCATGCAAACAGACATTTGTTCTTCAGTGTTCTGCTAACCCATGTATGTCCACTTGGGGCATCAAATACACTTGAATTCACTGAACAATAATTCCCCAAATTTTCCATAATTTTTGCTAACTCAGATGTTTATATTTGCAACGAACTAGCACAAGATTCCGCCCTATCCCCTCGAATTATTCTGAAAACAATTTCATCATCTACCATGTTGGGAACTGCTAAGTGGAGAAATTTAAAAAGTTCTCCCTTCAGAGCAGAGTACACATATAAACCTAACCTCATCTTAGACCATCCAATTCATATATCTGAAATCAGGGATGGATCATCACTAATCAGTTGTCACTGCTGACAGTGTCACCAGGAAGTGCCACTCACTTCCATGGCAATCTGACAGCAGTTAAGAAGTTGATGAGTTGACCTATCTTCCACCAGATAAAGATTTGCAGCTCCAAATATGAATTTCCACAGTCAGTACAGCACATTTTGACTGGCGTCAGCAGATCCCCTGAAGTTGCAAGGTGGTGAGGCTGGAGAGAGGCATTTCAGCCAACTGTAAAACAGGAAAGGATTTGTTTGTCTTGGTGTTTGGGACACCCAGAAACCATCCATCATGACATGGGCATAAAAGCAGTAACTAAATGGTCTCTGCAATTTGAGACACTTTCAGGACATCCATGCCCATATCCACAAGCTTTATTAATGTGAACAGCACAGAGCAAAAAGAGCAATAAAAAGCCTCAAACTGATTGTGGGCATTGCCTGAAAGGTATTACTCTCAAGCTTCCCCAAAAGCTGATTAGTTGCTCAGTTTACAAGTTTTTTAATAACTAGTTCTTAAATACAAGCACTCCAAAATAATCACTCACTCAAAGAGACATCAGATTCTTTTATAAGGATATAAATATAAACCATTCCCCCTCACCTATTCACTAAGACAGAAATAGGTATTAGTCAGCAAATGGAATGTTAATGCTTTTCAATAAACAGGGATGATGATCTTATAAAGCCTGTATTTAGGTCATATTTTCTTACAGTAAAATGCAAAAGAATTGAAGAAGAAGCTGGAAATAATCAAATGTATTTACAAAATCTGTATTTGTGGAGTACCACACTATTCATAGGACAGAGAGAGAAGAAAGATAAATAATACTCATTTTAGGAATTGCTTATACTATGGACAAATGCAGAATGGGGTTGTTTCCATATAAATGTAGGCTCTTCAGTAGTACTGCTATTTTGTCGTGTGTCCTACACAACAGTCCAATTACTACAGGGATGGACAGCTGCTCCAACTGCAATCTGCAAAACATCTGTACAGTACCGACCACCAGAGCCTGCTGGAGGCAGCAGCTCTCCTGCCGGTTCATTCACACAGCTTGCTTTGTTGCAGAAAACAGGAAGCTATTGTTGACATCGATATGGATGTACTATCTGTGAAAAGCAACATTCCAGTGTAAACAGCCATGTCAGAGAGCCCTCCCAGAGTTGCCCTGGATGGACACTCAACGAGGCATACTGGGCTTGTTAAGCACCCTCTTGATCATGACGGTCCAAGCACCACCACCTTGTTTCCTTACCTATGCTGGCACACTTCCTGGGAAAAAATCCATTTCTCAGTGTGAACTCTTTCAGAACTAAACTCCCAAATGCACATGCTGTCTGTCCTTGTTCTCCTTTGATTTACTGTTTGCCTCAGCAGGGACACTTCATAATTGACAGTGTATTACAAGGATACCAAAATTGGAACATACTTTATTTTACCTAACACAAGACATAGACAAATTAAGACAAAATAAGAACTGGATTAAACCACGGTCCAGGATCTCCTACCCTAGGAACGGTTTCCAGTTTTAGCACTTGCTTACTTTGCCAACATGGGATTCTTCAGCAGTGAAATGTCTCCAGAAGCAACGAAGGCTGAAACATATCCCCAAATTTCAAATTTTCTGCTATTCCTTTTCTGGGAAGCCTGCAACACCACTTGCTGTTATACAGGTAAAAGCCCACAGTAGTACCTTGTGATACTGCAACACTCAACCTCAAGCAAAAAATCAGGTTTTGGTTGAACAAGTTCCCCATGTCACTCTGTTGATATCTTCTCCTTATATCAAAGCAAGAACGGGATAAACTACAACTTGATATTTAATGATGGAATTGTCCCTTTGGTCATGCAGCCAGTGGAGGTGAAGAGCAAAGACTGTGCTATGCCAAATTCTGGGCCAGGCTGAGAACCTTCTTGTGCCCAGTACTTAGCAGAGTATTGTTTATGCTGTACAGATTTGTACATCTGGCTCAATCCACAGGCCTAGTACCCCACTAGACACATGCCTACAATATTTCTCTAATCAATCCTCATCTATTCCCAGAGTTCAATACATGTACATAAAGTAGCAGGCAGAATGAAGGTAATTCATATATCCAAAGACTACTGACTTCAAGGCAGATCTATTGCATTTCTTTCTTTTGCCTCATAGATTGGAGAGTGTAGAAATCATTTAAACTGTTATACCAAACTGAAGAGTGGGCTTTGGAGGTAATGTTACCATCTCATTTACTCTATCCTCCAGTGACAATATCAAATTATCCCTTTCTCCTCTGACATTGCTCACTGAAGTTCACACATACACAAACTTGAGTAAATTCACCCAGGATATAGCAAGCATTTAAGGAAAAATACTCATAGAACAAACATTTCCAAAGTTCTTAGAAATTTTTTTTTTCCCCCATCCCAGTTCAAAAGACATAGTTAAAATTACACTTTGAATATTAAAAAACTCAGGTTCTTTTTTTTTACGCCTTTTTTTTCCCCCCAATAATGTATACCTAGTAAGTATAGTTCGTGTAAATCTGCCTCTTCAGTGCCAATGTTCCTCTCACCAGATACTGTTTCTGGATTTAAGGGGGAAAAGAAGAATTGATTCCTTGATTCCTTTTCCCTTCTCCTCCGTGAGTACCTACATAGCACATACATGAGGTTTAAGATTGGTTAATAGGATATATTTTGAGAAATTCCTTTACTGAATTGTTGGCAGCACATCACTGCCTGGATAAGCAACAAAAAGACAAAGCATGAAACAACGCAACCTTTCATTCCTCAATAAAAACCTTCTAAGTGCACATGGAATAAGACAGATGTCCCTCCCAAGGCCCCATTTTTTTCCTCTTGTCTCATAACTGCAAAGCATCCATTAACCTTCTCTTTCACTGCTCTCTGACAGCATACAGCAAGAGCTAGAGATAAGTCATGATTTAAATTCTCTGCTTCATAGGAAAAAGATGGCTCTGCAGCTAAACCACTGGTGTCAGCCAGGCCAGATTCTCTTCCTATTCCAGTTGTCACTTTGTGTATAAGACTTGCCACCATGCAGTATAAGGTTAGTTATACTTACATAAGGGTGTTTTACA